CCCCAAAACCCCAAAACCCCAAAACCCCAAAACCCCGAACAGAGATTTAGAGATTGAAAATAGCTCTTATTCAGATTTTGGAATGGTTATTCTCGTAGCTAACAATATCATTCCAATAGCCCAGACAGACATTAGGATTATAGGGTTCTCCATTAGCTCAACCAGCATTGGAGAAACCATTGTGAATAGCCGTGCACAGATGTTACAGATCGAGAAAATCCTTGTCCGGAACGATGGCTTGAAGAGTTCTCAGTTGACAAAGTAGCATAAGGAAAATTGGATTGATAAGCTTGTTACCATTCATAAGATCCATATAGGTACAAGCGATCCATTGTTTTTAGTTAGAGTAAACCCAATGCTTCCTACAAAGGTGAGCATGAATGCAAGAATGAACAGCTTTTTACTTGAAATTACTCTAATTAATATTCCGAATAATATTGTTCCTACAAGTCCAGCTACTCCAAACAAGAGACTGTTAATATATACTGATCCTTTGAAGTACTTAATGTAGAACGATACCAAGTAATAACTTGAGCTAGTAAATGACCAACAACAAATCATGATAAAGAGGTTTAGCAGGTTGCTCCACTGCTTGATCATATCACAGAAGCCTTGCTTCTCCTGTGTATCTTGGATTTCTGTGTCACCATTTCTATTATCAATGATTAGCAATGTTCAAGGATCTTTAAATAGCAAACCTCTGAGATTTATCAAACTTAAAAGCTAAGAGATCATTAAATATCCTTAAAGATATGCAGCATGCAAATATATGATAGGTTCTTACCTAGATTGGGTCTCTCCAACATCCTCTTTGTTCTTCCTGTGATCCAAGAACTTCTGAGATTCAGGTATAAAGCAAATGTAGATAATACTACCATAAGAAACTGTACAATAAATCACGAAAATGTAAGTCCAGTCCTGACTCATGTAGAAGATTATCGGGATACTTCATATAACTAGTTTTTCAATGATGGTCAGAACCGGGATAAACTTCGCTTCAAGGTTTTTAGGAACAGTTTCCATGATATAGATATACGAAACAGTTCCTCTGACAAGAATTGTACAACCAATTAAGAACACAAAAATGTATACTTGAAATAAATTACTTGCAAACACTGTAAAAGCAGCTAGTGTTGTTGAGATTATAGAGGTCGCCAGTAACACAGGCTTGCGTCCAAAAATGTCAGCCAGAGGCATTATGGTCACTGAACTGACAATGAACCCCAGGAAAACTAAGGATCCAATAAGCCCAATCTTATAATCTTCTGTGCATAGAAGGCCAACTTGAGTAATGAGGTTGACAATAGAATACTTAGAGTCCCAGTCAACTCTATAGTCTAAATTCTGGGTACACACCTCATCTTTGGTTCAAGTTTTCCAAGCTGGGCCTATTTGTCATTCCATTTTGGGAATTAGCTCTAAAAATGGCAAAGAGAGTCCAAATAAGGCTCCAGAAACATGCAGGATCATCAGGAAAACAAGCTGCCATTTCTTATCCTTGGTCAGGGACTCTCCTTGATCTGATGGAGAAGAATCCGTGCTTGAAGAGATATTAAAGGTTTTTCTCTCCTGATTCATGCTTGTGCTAATTTTATAAATTTCAAATCTAATGTTCTACTTGGGGTTTTGGGGTTTTGGGGTTTTGGGG